AAAAAAAAAAAAAAAAAAAAGAAAAAAAAAAGCCTATAGTTGGAATCGAAACCAAGATCGCAAAACAATACAACTAGCAGCTTAAGCCTCTAATCCCTTAGCTATCCGACGTTTTGACGTTCCTGATGTAGAAGTCATATGTGTTCATTGATAACCTCCGGAGCTTGTCCTCTTGCTATTACAGCAATTATGATAATAAAAATAATAAACATGAAATTACAACTAAACTGACATCCTTAAAAAATATTTTAAGCTGAATATTTTTCTAAAATATTAGTTGGTTTTCCGAATAAGTATTGAAAGTACGGAATCCAATGAAAAAGAAATGTCTTGGAATCCAAAGATATTGTATATAATTTTGAGCATTTCACTTCTATATTTTTATTAAATAACATTGACATAAACAACATTGAAATAAGAGTCAATTAAATAGCATATACTTATAAGTATTTTTGGTTATAGTACATAAGTATAGAGATAAAGACTCGTGTCGTCGCTTGCATTGGCTGTGCGCTCAGCTATATAGCTATACAGTCATTTCTACTCCTCTCATTCACGTAAGCGCACATATTCAGTCTACCTCCCTTCCACGGATCTCCAAAATGTGCGCCAACATGCTCATTTCCACGCGAATCCACTCCTCTACTCGTAGGTGCACGCTGTTTGATGCAAGTCTCGCACTTTCGAAAAATGTGCGCCAAGCTTCGACGGCTGGCCGTGGCGGGTCGCCCTGATCAGTGGAAAAAAGTTGTCTCACGCCGTAGCATTGGCGTTAGCAATCTCTCTACTCATCTCTGGCTAAGTCTCTCGATGCGTAGTGGTTTTGCTTGGAGGAAGTTTTCCAGTTTTTCCTTGGGTTTTTGTTTTCTTGTGTAGCATTCTTCCAGGTATTAGATTCGTGGTTGGGGGGATGAGTATTTTTTCCTTGTGAACAGGTGAATGGCAAGCGTTGATCCCACTTTGTGAGATCATTTAGTTGGTAGGTAAAAATCCCCGGCTGCTCAGTCAACCGAGAGGTGACCTACTGACCGCTTTCTCAGTCATTCCTAGGGGTCTTTTCTTTTTCTTGTCAAAAATAAATTTTATTTTTGGGGTCTTTGATCGTGTGAACGACGTTCTCGTATTGCGGGCCGTGCAGTAGTATTACCTGCACGTGTACGAAACATCTGTAATTTTTTATTTTTATTTCGAGCTTTATGAATTTTGGTTTGTTAAGAAAGAAGTAGAGAATCAAGCCCTAGTGCATTCTAAGTCTGCGTATCATTATGTATAGCTCTCTTGTATTGACGATTATACATTACTATTTTCTATTGTAAACATGAAATATCACGCATTCTACTATGAATAGCGTTCTATTGTTGATTCCTATTTTAAAGTAGTTTGTAAGCTTACCAGGACGGAAAACAATTTTGTCCGGTGAGCATTACAAAGTTGGGTTGAAAACGTATAGGAAGCATTCCGTAAAATTAGTTATATGCAAAGTATTATTTTCTTAAAACTTTTTTTTTGTTAATTTTTATAAACGCGATTAAATCTGAATTGTGGATCTTTTTTATTTATATTTCGGCATAAAAGTTTATTTCATGCAGTTATAAGAATTTTGAGCATTGTACTTATTGTGATTTTTTTTTTATTTCAACAACGCAGTTTTTTTTGATATTGTATTCATTTACTCATTTTCATACTAAAGTGTTTTTCTTTGAGTTTGACGCTGTATTTAAAAACACGATTTATATTTCTCTTTGATTTTGTCTTACTTTGTTTTCTTTTACGGTTAGAATAAATACTAAAATTTAAGTAGACTTTACTTCGTCTCTGAGCATTATTTAGTACCTCTATCCTCAACTCTTATGTCCGCCGTAATTTGTCTCACTATCACCCTCGTGTCACTCTTAAAAAAGGTGACCGTTGCAATATATATATATATATTTTTTTGTTGATCCTATCAAGATAACTGAGAAAATGTAAAAATGCCATGTTTGCCAATCTACGAGTATCGATCGTACTGTGAAAATGTACGCCTGTGTATGTGTTCAGAAGGGCTTAATCCAGAAGAGCTGCTTGCCGAGCAAGCGGCGTAGAAAGCGGATGTAGTAAAAAGTGCAGCAGTTCTGCTCTCTCGCAGCTCTCAGCTACTATAGTATACTGCTGTATCCCCACCACATCTACCTTCCCAAAATGAATCATAGTTCAGATGCTTTTGTAAGGGGGATATTGGATTATTCTGAAAATTGTTATTCAATAAATTCGTACAGTAAGCTCTTTTGAATACATACCAACGCGTACATTTTTACTGTACGATCGATGCCCGTCGATTCGCAAACATATGGCATTTTTGATTAATTATTTTGGCCAATTATCTTGATAAGTGTTAAGATTTTGTACAAAAAATAATATATATATACATGGAGGACTCAAAACCCTACAATTTGGGTCTTTAAAGAGATCTCTACGACTCATAAAAGTTGAGTCATTAATTATTTAAAAATCATGAGTTGACGAGATATTCATTTATTCACTCAAAAAATAATTGTTCGAAAATTATTAATCCCAGCTTAAATTTTTCGTATTTCCAAGCTTTGCAAGTGGCTATTTTTTTCGATTTTCTTTTTACTTTAGCTTTCATTTGGCAAAAACTTTTTTTCGGTACCTTTTTGAATTTTTTTTTTTAACAATGTTCCTACTAGTTTATTTATTCCAAAAGTAATACATTGCATTTCCACTATTTTTTTCTATTTATCGCAGTGAAAGACTCAACTGGAATGAGATTTCTAAAAAATCAATGATTTTTCGCTCTGGCCCATATACTATGTAATACGTATCTAAAGTAGTTAGTTATATTATACCAATAAGGTTTAACTTTTTAAATTAGTTCCTCAACATCTAGTTAAAAAATACTATAGGCTAAAAACATATTTTTGAATGATACGGATAGTTAAGGAGGTTCGGTCGTTTTTTCTAGGGGGGTGAGCGGTCCACGGGGGCTCCCATAAGACACCGTGTTAAATATACAAATCTTTTCTTAGGTCACCTAAGCCTTAAAATAAAAAATTACAGATCGGTTTAAATTTGTGGTCTCTAGACAATTTTGAACAACAGAAGTCTGTTTGGGCCCACTTTGCCCACCACTCTATAGTAAAGTTTTTTCTTATCATTGTGCTTTATTCTGTTTCGTTTTACATTTAAATCTAATGGCTCTTTTGATGTGCAACAAAAACTTATCAAACGTAATCTTGACAGACATACAGTATGTTGTCAATAAAGAAACTATCCGCTAATTCAGTGGTGTTTCTCGATCGAGAATACGCAAAAAAACCAACTCAGCGATTTTTCAACTTGTTTCAAAAAAAAATCGCCTTCCCTCTTATCACCGTCTTTAATCCAATTTGATAGCTATATTCAGAGACAGCAAAATTAGTGTTTAGATACACCTATTTAAAACGATAGCAATTTGATGAAAGTGTCAAGAGCACTGTTTTTTTCTCCTTCTCAAGTTTTATGTCCGTTTTCTCACATTGGTCACTTTTATTCTCCACTGACGCCATGTTCATACTTTATGCGACTATTTGTCTTTTAACTTTTAACGTCTTGGGGTATCCAATACACTTTTGTGAGATGTTACACTTGATGTTTCCAACAGCAGATGGTTTTTAGTAGGCTTTCGATAATCTCTTTTCTTCTTGACGCTTTTCTTTTCTTCTCCTCGTCTTGCTCAATAGTGCTGTTTATTGTCCAGTATCAATATCATCGAAATTAACAAATATTTTTCGACCAAATTGCATTGTAACAAAAAATCTAGTCAAAAATTTATGAAGTAATTGCAGAAAATATACATTCGCAGTTTTAATAAGATAAAAAGTGATACTACTTCATTAAAAAACCACAGCATATTTAACGTTCTGATTTTCTATATCCGTAAGTAAAATTTTTAAACGATGAAACTATTGCTGTGGAGTAGCGTTATCTGCATTCTAAGGTGGACCAATAGGAATATAATGTTTCGATGAGCTTTAATACAGAAACCTTTGGACCTCCAGAGACTTCCTTTTCAGAAGAAACTAACACCTGATCAGTGCATCGGTTAAGTCACTATTAATTTAAATAAGATCGGTAAATTAATTAAGAAGGTTAATAGAAGGGATCCTTGCCCTAAGCCTGATGACAGCAGAGGTCTGCTTCAGACGATTGCTGCACTCTGAAAATAGAAGCCAGTAGGATTGATAATAAAGTTTCTGAGGGGAAATTTGAAATGGGTGCAAATACTTGTATACATAGGGAAGAAGGAGGGAAATCAGGGAAAAAAAGTCAAGCTTTAGAATACGTAAAAATTTCGTAACGAGTGGACCTTAAATCCAAATACTATACTTTACTGTAGTATCCGGTGACTATGAAATGACAAATTTTTCCAATATATGATTTTTTTTTATAGACGTACCTTTAAATTAAGATATTGTATCTTACATTAACTCATAAGTAAGTACCTATGCTTTTTACCAGACAAAATTTGAAAAAAAATATGTTATGAGCTCAATATATTAATGCAAATATAAGTGCTTATGTAGACTAACAATATTTTGTTTCCTTTAATTTTAAGTATTGCATGATAAATAAAACATAAATACGTAACAGAAAAACATTTTAATAGCATATTATTTACCATGACATATTAGTTTATTTAAAAAAAAAACAAAAAGCAATACACATAGCTCTGAGTTGATTATTGTTCCAATAACTATATAGTCATATTTAAGTGCAATGAAGAAAATCCAAATGTATGCTTAAAACAGTTACTTCATTGTCACATATGATACACTGCAGAGATTACTGGTTTCTGAGACATATACTAGATATCTTATGTTTGAATAGAGGTATGTTCAACAACACTCAAATTTTTATTGTAGTAGTGGCAAAAGTAGAGACTCAAAAGTGCTGGAAAGTTTGGATCACTTACGTTGGACAAAGAACTGAAAATAATAAAAGTAGTAATTATTATTATAATAATGATAAATATGTTATCAATAACAGTAAAAATTAAGAACATTTTTGTGTTTCTTAATGTTTAAAGTTCGTAGTAGACTAATTCGTCATGTTGCTGATCAAAATTAAAAATGAATTTTTAAATCAAAATTACTCAAGGCATAAAATTATCGTTTACATTGACTATGACTATAAAATTAAAATTTTTTTGATCATTAGAGTCAATTTTTATTAGATCATTAGGGATAATGAGGCAAAAACATTGTTTGTCTACCACTATAAAACTTTATTTTTTCACTATAAGTATTTTTTATTTGAACACAGCAAATAATTTATTTTTAACCCTTTATCTTTTCGCATGTATACCTAAGTTACGGAATCTAAGTGTAAGACTTCGATTTTTTTGTACTTCGAAGTTTTGGAATCTTAAGTGACTTCTGTTACTGTCTTGATCATTCTCATCTGCAACTCTCTATAACGGTTAGGGACTGAAGTAATTTTTTCTGAAGCTTCTGTTTACAGAAACATAAAAGAGAGCAAATATTTATATGTCGTTTTCTTAATCATATATGTTTATTGATTTTGTATAACTAACGGAACTCATTCTTTCTTATGATTTTAAACTGAAGCTCGCACTTTTTTTTACTCTTACAATGGTTTCCGAGTTTTTTTCTATTGATTGTCAGTGGTTTAAAACATGATTTTACTTCACTCACCTGGTTACCTTAGTATCATACTTCACAACTATGAATTTTTCAAATTTGTAAAATTTGTTCTGAGCCTCAGAAACTACTTAAATAATTATAATATGGCAGTTTAATTTTTTTTTTAATTTTTGAGTAAAATCTCATTGCGTAGTCGATTTAACAAAAAGATTTACTAATTTGTTTTCATGAACTCCGAAATGGATCGGGATCCAGACAAATTTAATAAAAATAAGAGAGCAAGCACTTTTGATAACACTTGAGAAATCACTGAGGATCTTCAAAATAGTTTTAATGAAAGATAAAGCAGAGTACATAGTTCCTTATATGGCGATGCATTATGGCGTTATATATGAGGATCCATGATGTTTTATCGAAAGGCAGTAGTCAACAGTACTTTTAGGGGTGTCCTTAATTCCACTGTAATTGCTGAAAATTTTGTAAGCATCATAACCGTGATCTAAAATTTTTTTTAAACTATATGATACGTAATAGTTTGACCAATATTCTAATTAGTTAGAAAATATTCAAAGAAAAGTAATTACTGCAGTTATAAATATTTTAGTGACTGTTTAAGTGGCTGAAAAAGTTACTAGTAATTTATGGCTTCATTTTATGAGAAAGTTTTTTTCTAGTTGGAAAGAAGTTAAAATCGTGCATTATAAATAGATACTTCAATTTTTTTATTTCTAACGATTTGAGAGAGGTAACACTTACAAAGAAAACTAATACAGTAACTAGTTAGTATTATTAAGATTTGGACAAGATAATGTTTTTAGGTGAACTGGTATGGTAGGGAAAATAAGATCGAATAGTTGGTAGTGGGGTCTATTCTATTTTGTTTCTAAGATTTTTCATCACTGCAGTACGGTAGGTGATAATTTTTACTTACAGAGCACCAGAAGTCCCGAGGCGAAGACAAGGGTATTGATCCGAATAAATCTAGGATATTCTTAACCTTGATCATTAGGTGCGTAATGTTAAATTAGATAATACTATTTTTTATGTTCGCAAGCTAACCTCCCCTCCAAAAGTTAGAATTACGTAATATATAGTAGATAACCAAGATGCATACTTTCTTACTTTACCAATTTCTACTGACTAGATGGACTTCAGGAACTTTATTTGATTACTGATTACGTAATTTAGTTTTATCACAAAACAGCTGTAGTTTTTAACGAGTGTGAACCTATGTAAAATCGTTTTTGACGACTACGTGAATGAAATTCAAGTTCTCAACTAAAGATACATCTAATGTAGAGCTTTAATGTTAATAAATAAACAAGTGGTAAACTAATTAGAAAATAATTATTTTGGCTAATACATACGAGAGAGCAACTTTTTTTTTAATGTTCATAAAAATATCAGAAATTGAGACATAAAAATCTAATGTCAATAATATTGCCGTTGTTAAGTAATAATCTTACTCAAAAAACAGCATTTTTTTTTACATTTTACAGCCATTTCTGAAATTAATTGCCAATAAACTCTACATTGCTGTGTTACTCTGTATATATATATGCTATTGTCACTGTCATATTAAAAAATCACCTCAGATTTTATGTAATCAATCACTTACACAGCAATAAGGAACTTATTTTACATGGCTTGCGAACCATCGGACAATAATTTGAAATACGCACATAAACAATTGGTGTCTCCGAGGTGCGGGCCAAGTGTATAAAGGTCAGGCCTTAAACTCGATAACATGTGTTACCAAGCTCCTGAACTATAAGAACCATAACCTAAACCTCTGTGCGGTAGCAACGCAAAATTTTTCGGCCACCATGTCAACGGTCTTCGATCTAATTTACCGCTTAAAGTCTCAAATTTACTTAGCTCTTATTAGTTACGCATTTAAAAAATTTAATACCTGTAGTGGTCATAGTCTTATCCAGAATATTTTAATTCTTCAGTTTAAACATTTTTTACACATTACAGTGATATTTTGAAATCATTTCCTACATCTAAAATGAGACAATTTTTAGGACCATGTTCGTCAATCATAAATGAGTAAATTAATCATGTTTTAACCAGTCTATAATAAGATCCTTATAAAACCTTTTCTTTAACTTTATTGGGCTTAAACTATAATTTGATGAATAAATAGCTAGTACACCAAAAAAAATTGTTTCAAAAGTAATTAAATATTGATTTGGTACGAGGTAGGGTTCTCCATCTATCAGTTTCTTAACTATTTTTAGCTGATTTCAAACGATTTATTCAAGAAACTTACAGTGAGTGCTGTCAGCATAAATTTGAAATGATTTTTCATAATAATTAATTTTTCAACAGAAACATTGATCAAAATTAAGCCTTAGTTAACAGTTGCCACAATGTTGTACGTACTTTAAAAAAAATACAAAACAGTGATAACTCAGTAGGCAACACAGCACCATGGCTTGTTTTAAAATAAGATATTTTACTGCTATTTTATAGAGAGGTTTCTACTGTACTAATGGTGTAGCTACTGAATTGGAGTCCCAAAAATTTGCTATACTACCTTTCGGTCTAGCCACTACATATAAAGAGACAGTAGCAGCCTTTTTTAGTGAAATTCAATCATCAAAGTAATATAGCAAGAGATTTTAAAGAAGGTACAATTTCATTTAATTAATATTATAATGTCTCCTCCATCTACGTGTCATCAATTTTTTTCTAAAAGTAGAATAGTCTTAAAACTTCCACGTTTTATTCAAAGTAAGCCAATATTTAAATCATGGACTATTATATACTTATATTCAAAATCAGTAGAAGTATTATAATAATCAAGAAATTTACGGAAGATATTTTTTTTCGTCCAAAGTAAAATTTGAAAAGCAGATTGGTAAATATACTTCTAAATAAAGACATCATCAAAGATAGTACACCAATAACAAATATATCATAAACTGTTTGTATGGTTTGTTTCAAACGAAAACTTATGAAATTGCCTTTGAAAATAGACTCAGTGTCATTAGTAATTTATTGAATTGTACAAATTCACATTTGTGGTCAATTACAAGGGGAGTTGTACAGAGGTTCCAAGTACTGACTGCTTTTCTTCTCTTCCAAGTTACCACGACAGTCTACTGGCCGAGCTGCTGGGGTCACCCACTCATCACCTCTAAATGGAGGTGTATCACCACGCCAATTAACAACCACCTGAACTGATACCGTACTAACTTTACAATAGGCACAGGAAGAATTTTCCAGGTGTAACTCCTTACCGTCCAGAGACACCCTGCAAACTTAGCTGACACTCTCTTAACAAATAGTGCACTGAGTCTACTATTCACTAAGTAGCCTTTTTCCGGAGAAGACTTCATATATCAGAAGTACACTTCTCATCAGTTAAGCTGATACTCTTTGCCCTGATCCAGGCTAATTAAAATATCCGTGAAAGCCCCATATTTCAGGGACCAATCCTCTCTGGTAAGACCGACGCACAGTGTGACAAAATGCAAAAAATGTGTCAAAATCCCTGCTTTATCTGAATTTAGCGCTGAAAAATATTTTTTAGCATGATTTTACTCTTCTGTGACTCTAGTTTCAGAACCCGTTTCCGTCACGTGTCTACGTTACAGCATATATTATGTAGGTGGCGCTAAAGTTGTCATTTTACCTAAACCTGGTTATTAATATCTAATTTTAATGAATACTTTAATTGGAAGAAATAAATCAATGGAGTTTTCCAATGATTTTTTTAGGCACTTAAAACGAAGCTAAAATTTATTTCGCAAAATAAATTATTCAAGCAAATTGATTAAACAAACATGAGTTCGAAAATTTTTAAGACTTAAGCAGCACATATTTTCAGTGATTTTTAAGGTTTATTGTTACAAACTTGGTGTTTGTTTAGCAAAAAAAATTGTTTAAACAAAAGCAGATTCAAAAATTTTTTAATACACAAGCGGCACATATTATCTACGGTTTTCGAGGTTTCTCTTAACTCATCTGATATTTGTTTTGCAAAGAAAACTTGTTCGGACGAATGATTTCAGTAAATATTAGAACAAAAGTTTTTTTAAGCTGGCAACAAAATAATCTAAATAGTTTTTAAGAGTGATGACATTTGGTTCGAGATTTATACTACAAAATCTGTACTTTAAACGAATAATTTAAACAACTATAGAATTATAAGTTGTGTACGATATTTAAGATTAAAATATTTAAATAAATTGAAGGAGCAGTTTTACAACTGTTTTGTGCAGTGTTACAAGCTTTCATTATGCATAGTCATTTATGATTAAAAAAATTTTACCGCTACCTTGGGGTATAAAGTGTGGCTCTTTTCGAAAATG